TAATTTAATGTAACCAACTATTTTTAGTACTATTTGTATACAGAGAGAGGGGGTCTCAAGTTTCCTATTTGAATATTCTTGTGTTTGTTCAAGCAAACGAAATTAAAACTAAATCAGCAGTTTTTACATGGAGTGTGGTTTATAGATTAAACCACATTGAGGCGAACCTGTAAAGCATGAACTAAAAGATATCTGTTCAATTTAAACTATACACTTACACACATATATACACACATATATATATACGCACACATATATATATACACACATATATATATACATACACACATATATATACACACATATATACACACACATACACACACATACACACACATGCAGCCAGGGACAACTGTCTTCGCCAATAAATAATTGTCAATACAAATTTTCGCACTCTTTGTTGTTACCCACATGGATGTAAACAACAAAGTGTTTTTTCGGAGCTCTCATAAACATATAGCCCGCTTTACCAGGTTTCAAATTTGTTTTGACACGACATAATCTGTAAAGCAAAAACCAATACAATACAAGAAACAACTGGAATTTTGACCTTTTAAGTCTAATATACTACTATTGAAACATTATTATGCTGGTTTCAACTAGAATATTTTATAATTGTCTAAAAAACTAAACATCGGAATATGCACTTAATAACATCGGAATCTATACATTTTCCTTCTAACTAAATCAAAAAAGAAAGACATTTGGTGTACACACGAAGAACTTGATAACTTCACATTTCATTTCTCTCCATGCACTACCTTTGTTTATATTAGTGGGGCTCGCAATAGTTTGTGCGAAATTTGTTAAAGTTCTTTTTTTTTTGGCAAACGCAGTTTTCCCCAACCGTACATAGCCAATAATTTAGTAAACATTGCTGGCACCTTTTTGTTTTGAAATATATTACTATAATGTCATTAGAAATAGAATGGATTTAAAATTTAGTTAATGTAGAGTAAAACTGTATCCGCGAATCATTTCTAGTTTTTACACACACATTTCTGTATTCGCTTTGTGCAAGATTATGTAATCTCACGATTTTTCATTTTAGTAGAATTTAGTCAAAACTTTAAACATGAAATCCAGGGATCAAACCGATAACTTAAAATTTCACACAACCCTTAATTCTAAAATTTTTAATTTCTCAATAATATTTAAATTTAGCTACCAAATAATGTGGCGAAACAATAAGACAAAAAATAACATGGGTGTACTTTCTATCTTTTTTCTAGTATAGAACTCTTTTAATATTGATATTACCTTTCTTGTTTAATAGTATCTTCATAATCCGTAAATAGCATCAATTATAAACTGATTCAGATGACAACATTATTATCCAAGACCTCAACTCGTATATCTCTTATTGATATGATAATTTCAAACAAAAAGTACTTTCTTTTTCTTCAAATGCATTTTTAACAAAACTAGCCCAGAAATATGGATTACATTGTTACACTAATCCCCTAGCCCTCCCTTTAAATGGTAATTAGTAAAATAAAAGAACGAGTAAACTAAACAACAATAGCAAGACAACAGAAAAGAAACTCTTCTGGTTCATTGTCTTTTTTTTTCTTCATTTTGCATACAAGAAGTCGTGCATACACCAACCCTAATCTGCCCATCTTGTTGCAATCAATTTGTGTCACTTGTTAGAAAATGGAATGTGTGGAACAAAAAGCAATAGGAGTACACATGAAAGGAAATGAAATACAGCAATCAATGTAAAGTTCATTGAGTAAATTATACATGGTCATATGGTGATAACATTGATTCCAAGTGAAGCGCCTAATATAAAATTGAAATCAAAAGAGGAACATTCAATACGAAGAGACAAACCTCTACTGACCACCCAAAATTAAATCCCGTAAAACACAACAAACGAGAAAAGGGTAAATGTCGGTTTGGTGTTTTCCAGATATATTTAGATTTTTGAAGAATAGCCGAAAACAACCCTTGTGATAAAATTAGAACGATTTATAGTATCATTTAGTAACAAAATTAAGAAGTGGTAAACCTAAAATAAAACCCAAATAAGTCCACCCACATTTATCCTGAAAGTTTATTTTATTTTAATGGATAACTACCCCTTCTCATAATTTATTTCTTTCCCCACAAACAAGTTACTTTGTATAAGACTTTCTTAATCCCATGTTGTCTTTGGATTGGGTTGCGAATAGGTGATTTATACATACACTTCAGTAAACATACAAAAATGAGGGCCAAATTGAAATAGAAGTACTCTAAATTATCACTTATTGATTCCCTTGGGGCCCCTTTCAGAAAGTAATAATAAAAAAATCTAAATATCTGAGTTTTAACCAAATAATTTCTAAATACATTATACGCTATCCATTGATTTAAAAGGATAACTAAAAATGTAGAAACCGGGAAGTATATGCGAAACGTTTGCGATACTTTTCTTTCCATGTTTCTGTATATGTTGGAAATAAGGTTATTTGCATTTAATATTTATAAAATTTTCCTTTTAGGGCCAAACATGCAAATAAAACAATTAGTTATCAATAATGAATCTAAAATAAAAAACTCAGTAATATTTCAAATTTTATGTGTAGTCAACCAAAAAGAAATAAAACATCTTTAAAAGTACAATCTATGAACTAGTGAAAAATTTCCTGCAATTCCTACCCTTTCAAGGAGTATAAAAACATATATAACATACTATTGTTCATAAAATATGCAAAAACAGCTGATAAAGTAACTTGAATATGTATATGAAATTATAGATAGATGCAAAATTAAAGAAAAAAAAATCTAAATAAAGAAACAAGGATAATACATCAATGGGTTTGTACTCTTTTTATTTATTATCTCGTAAGTAGATTATCATAGATATTATTATTATTATTATATTCGAATTAATCAATTTAGTCGCTTCCACTTACAGTTGTTGCATCTGTTATTAGGAGACTAGAGCTAAATTTGTATTTAAATACAAATATTATTGCTAAATCCCTCATGGTTCATTTTGCGATTACCAATCAAACATTAATTAACTATATTTTCAATTGAAGTTTTGATAGGATATGGCTATTTGTGACCCAAAAATTGGTGTGGTTACCGTTAGATAAGGAAAAAACAACAACATAGAAATAATCACATTCTGTGATTGTCGTTAGGAAGTTCAATATTTCGAATGCTATTTTACAATAAATTTCGATTAATGTTCTTTCTAGTATATGATTTTCCTTAATGAGGAAAACACAATATTAATTAAGAATAATTTGAACAAAGAGATGATACTGTTTACAAAAGTTTGGTTTCATACTCTCAGACCACACCAATCCAAAGTAACCATATGATACTTGGTCATAGCACACTTGTTACCTTTTGAGTATAGCATTATATTGCTATACAAAATAAATACCTATGTGTCAATATCAATAATTCTGTATTTGTATGCCTTATAGGCCATCTTTATTATAAATATGGGTGTTGTTTCGTCTCTTCTGGTTACGAATATTACTCATATAGAAGAATGTAATGACAAATAAAAACTGTAAAATATACGAAAACAGTAAATCAAAAATAAACCGTATTTATATTGGATTGGCGTACTGTGCACTGGTACTATTATATTATCATCAATGGAAGACATTTCTAAGTTTCGTATTTATCAACGCCTGATTTTGAAAACTAAATAATTGTTAAATTAGACAAAATAGCCTTTTTGCTGAATCATGGTGATTATTTCAATAAGAAATTACTTTTAGTATATAAAGAACACTATTAGAGAAACAAAAATAATCATGTAATTTGTATTAGTAAATACTGAGTGTTGCAAAAAAAGAAAAAGAAAAAGAAAAAAAAAAAAAAACAATACAGAAAGTACTAATAAAAAGAGACAAAACAGAAATATGAATTACTGTACCTGATGTAGAGAAAAAAAAATAAGAGCATGCAAGTATGTACAGTCGTTGCAGTTTTATTTCGCACTAGTATTAATAATTTCTTTGAACTTGGTACGAACAAAAAGTAGAAACACTGTATATTTTTAAATAAACAATGTTTTATGTTATCTTTCTTTCCTTCTTTTTTTTTTTTTAAATTATTCTTTTGAAATAAACTATTTCTAGAAATTGTATTGATAATAGAGTTTATTATTTTATGAATATCTTAGATTGTACCCCATTAAAGGATCCTTGGTGAAATAAAGCTTAAGACAAAAAGAATTGAATAAGAATATTAAATTACTTTGTAAACAGGTTAGCCTGTTTAATAATATTTTAGAAGTCGTGCATATGTCAAGAAATACGATTTACACTCACATCAACAACAGGAGGGCAAAATTAAACTCAAATGTAATGATTTCAAAACTCTATGACAAATGATTGTTATCCCACTCTCTAGCTACTTTAATTAAATTTACATTTTAATCCCATATAATACACTTCACTTACGATACTCATATGGAACGTACCCTATTCAACAAAGTATTTTCACATCTCAGTGAATTGCATTTTTTTTTTCAGTTGTCGTGCAAACTTACCAATCTCAAGTTATCGAACTGAATTTCAATACAGCTCATTTCGATGTAATTATATAGCTTCCTAAAAAACTTATCTCATTAATTGCTCTCCTAGTTCGTGACGCTGTATTTATTACCAGATTTTGCGTATTATGTACTGGTTGTAATTTAATATCATTAAGGGAACACATTTTTTAATTTCATATTTGTCTAGTCTTGATCTTGAAAAATGGCATACTAAACTGAAAGCTACAGTACAAAATAAGAACAAATCACGTAACTTGTATGAATAAGTATTCTGTATTAACAATGAAATTACAAAAAGTAAGAATAAGAAATAGCAAAACAGAAGTATGAATTAACCGAAATACACATATATATAAGAGTATGCAAATATTTAAATGACCAATTTGTTGGAATTTTTGTAACCAGCAAATTTCAATGCAACGAATAGAAATTATAATGAACCCGACGAAGAAAAATATTAGACCATTGAGAATGGGTAAAAATGTAATTAGAAAATGAAAGATAATAACGAAAACAAGACAAATGTCAAACCAGAAACCCCAATAACTGCACCAGATCCTTCATAGGTGGTGATAACATTGGTATTTGGTTTATTAGAAGTAGTATGTTCACTTAATGTGGTTTGTTGTAAACCAGTTCCAAAACCAGCAGAAGATAAACCTGTTTCAACACCTTGAGATTCTGTAATAGTAACAGATTGCAAAGGAGACCCATGTGATGTGGCGTTTTCAATTCCAGCATTGGTGCTTGAACCAGGTTCTGTATTAACACTTTCAGTAGGTGTTGATGAAATGGTAGAAGCAGCAGATACTGAAAGAGATGCACTTCTTGAAACATTTGTATCAGAAGCCATACTGCCTTCGGTACTGCTGGAGGAAGGGTTATTGGTGTGAACTTCAGTTGCACTAGAAGCTGAAGCAGAAGCAGAAGCAGAAGCAGAAGCAGAAGCAGAAGCAGAAGCAGAAGCAGAAGCAGAAGCAGAAGCAGAAGCAGAAGCAGAAGCAGAAGCAGAAGCAGAAGCAGAAGCAGAAGCAGAAGCAGAAGCAGAAGCAGAAGCAGAAGCAGAAGCAGAAGCAGAAGCTGTGAAAGTATCAACATTAGTTGGACTAGTTACTGTATTCTCTGATAAAACAATAGAAGCAATATTTGAATCAGAACTGGTATCACCTGCAGATTTACTGATAGTAGGGTTTTCAGTAGAAACAATACTAGATCTTGGTCCTGTTGTAAGATCTGTTGAAGTTGAGAACAGGAATGATTCAGTAGTTGTAGATGGAATCATATTTTCTGAAGATGGCGATTCAATACCAGAAGAAAGAAATCCTTGATTAGACTCACTTGATTCAAAGTTTGTATTCTGTGAACTGTAGATAGATTTAGAAACCAAGGATGAAGACAAATCAGAAGAAACAGCAACAACAGTCAGTGAACTCAATAAAGTAAAGGAAGTAGATGAACTAAAACTGGATGACGAAATTAAATTGGTAGTTGACTCACTAGCCCCAGTAGATAAAGAAGAACCTGTTGGTTCAATTGATTGTGATTCTGTTGATGAAACTGTTTCTGTGGAAACACTATATGAAGATGATTGTACCGTTTCGGTAGAAGCAACTGTGGAATCTGTTTCAGATGAAAAACTATATGTCAAAGTGAAAATAACTGAATCCGATTCAGATGAAAATTCCATTTCTATTGATGTAGATACGATAGATGAAATAAATGATGAAGAATCAAAAGTTGCACTTGGGTTTTCGGAATTATCAGATGTAGAAGAAATGACCATAGATTCAAATGAAGATGATAATGAAGAAAATGGTGATGGATACACAATAGTGTCTTCAGAAACAACCGAACTTGAGAAATAATCCAATTCTGAAGATGATGAATAATCAGGGAATGAACTTTGTGAAACAGTTGTGTTGAGCCAATGAGGTTTTGAAGAAGAATCCAGAGAACTTGAATAAACAGCAGAAGGGAAAGACAAAGTAGAAAATGCAGATTCTGTTGACTCGGTAGTTTCCATTGAAGATTCAAAAGAAGACTCACCAATAAATTCACTAGTAGATTGAACCCCAGTTTCACTCGATAACCCAGTAATAGACTCAGTAGATTCGGTTGAAGAATCAATAGTGGACTCAGCAGATTCAAAAGATGATTCAATTGAGGATTCAGATGAGGGTTCAACAGTAGATTCAACAGTAGATTCAACAGTAGTTTCAACAGTAGATTCAACAGTAGATTCAACAGTAGATTCAACAGTAGATTCAACAGTAGATTCAACAGTAGATTCAACAGTAGATTCAACAGCAGACTCGGTGGATTCGACAGTAGATTCAGTGGACTCAGCAGTAGATTCAGTGGACTCAGCAGTAGATTCAGTGGACTCAGAAGTAGATTCAGTAGATTCAACAGTAGACTCAGTAGATTCAATAGTAGACTCAGTAGTGGATTCAATATCAACGATAACAACAGAATCAGTGCCACCTGGTGGGTTGGTATATGTGATGGTAGTTTCAACGGAACCATACTCGGTGGTGGTGACAGTTGGGTTTGGTGGTTCAATGACAACAACAGAATCAGTGCCACCTGGTGGGTTGGTATATGTGATGGTAGTTTCAACGGAACCATACTCGGTAGTAGTGACAGTTGGGTTTGGTGGTTCAACGATAACAACAGAATCAGTGCCACCTGGTGGGTTGGTGTAGGTGATGGTGGTTGGTTCAGAAACAGACCCATACTCGGTGGTGGTGACAGTTGGGTTTGGTGGTTCAACGATAACAACAGAATCAGTGCCACCTGGTGGGTTGGTGTAGGTGATGGTGGTTGGTTCAGAAACAGACCCATACTCGGTGGTGGTGACAGTTGGGTTTGGTGGTTCAATGACAACAACAGAATCAGTGCCACCTGGTGGGTTGGTGTAGGTGATGGTGGTTGGTTCAGAAACAGACCCATACTCGGTGGTGGTGACAGTTGGGTTTGGTGGTTCAATGACAACAACAGAATCAGTGCCACCTGGTGGGTTGGTGTAGGTGATGGTGGTTGGTTCAGAAACAGATCCATACTCGGTAGTAGTGACAGTTGGGTTTGGTGGTTCAATGACAACAACAGAATCAGTGCCACCTGGTGGGTTGGTATATGTGATGGTAGTTTCAACAGATCCATACTCGGTGGTGGTGACAGTTGGGTTTGGTGGTTCAATGACAACAACAGAATCAGTGCCACCTGGTGGGTTGGTGTAGGTGATGGTAGTTTCAACAGAACCATACTCGGTGGTGGTGACAGTTGGGTTTGGTGGTTCAATGACAACAACAGAATCAGTACCACCTGGTGGGTTGGTATATGTGATGGTAGTTTCAACGGAACCATACTCGGTGGTGGTGACAGTTGGGTTTGGTGGTTCAATGACAACAACAGAATCAGTGCCACCTGGTGGGTTGGTATATGTGATGGTAGTTTCAACAGATCCATACTCGGTGGTGGTGACAGTTGGGTTTGGTGGTTCAATGACAACAACAGAATCAGTGCCACCTGGTGGGTTGGTGTAGGTGATGGTAGTTTCAACAGAACCATACTCGGTGGTGGTGACAGTTGGGTTTGGTGGTTCAATGACAACAACAGAATCAGTACCACCTGGTGGGTTGGTATATGTGATGGTAGTTTCAACAGAACCATACTCGGTGGTGGTGACAGTTGGGTTTGGTGGTTCAATGACAACAACAGAATCAGTGCCACCTGGTGGGTTGGTGTAGGTGATGGTGGTTGGTTCAGAAACAGACCCATACTCGGTGGTGGTGACAGTTGGGTTTGGTGGTTCAATGACAACAACAGAATCAGTACCACCTGGTGGGTTGGTATATGTGATGGTAGTTTCAACGGAACCATACTCGGTGGTGGTGACAGTTGGGTTTGGTGGTTCAATGACAACAACAGAATCAGTACCACCTGGTGGGTTGGTATATGTGATGGTAGTTTCAACAGATCCATACTCGGTGGTGGTGACAGTTGGGTTTGGTGGTTCAATGACAACAACAGAATCAGTGCCACCTGGTGGGTTGGTATATGTGATGGTAGTTTCAACAGAACCATACTCGGTGGTGGTGACAGTTGGGTTTGGAGGGTTCAATGACAACAACAGAATCAGTGCCACCTGGTGGGTTGGTATATGTGATGGTAGTTTCAACAGATCCATACTCGGTGGTGGTGACAGTTGGGTTTGGTGGTTCAATGACAACAACAGAATCAGTGCCACCTGGTGGGTTGGTATATGTGATGGTAGTTTCAACAGATCCATACTCGGTGGTGGTGACAGTTGGGTTTGGTGGTTCAATGACAACAACAGAATCAGTACCACCTGGTGGGTTGGTATATGTGATGGTAGTTTCAACAGAACCATACTCGGTGGTGGTGACAGTTGGGTTTGGTGGTTCAATGACAACAACAGAATCAGTACCACCTGGTGGGTTGGTATATGTGATGGTAGTTTCAACGGAACCATACTCGGTGGTGGTGACAGTTGGGTTTGGTGGTTCAATGACAACAACAGAATCAGTACCACCTGGTGGGTTGGTATATGTGATGGTAGTTTCAACAGATCCATACTCGGTGGTGGTGACAGTTGGGTTTGGTGGTTCAATGACAACAACAGAATCAGTACCACCTGGTGGGTTGGTATATGTGATGGTAGTTTCAACAGAACCATACTCGGTGGTGGTGACAGTTGGGTTTGGTGGTTCTATGACAACGACAGCATCAGTACCACCTGCTGGGTTGGTATATGTGATGGTAGTTTCAACGGAACCATACTCGGTGGTGGTGACAGTTGGGTTTGGTGTTTCAGTGACAACAACAGAATCAGTACCACCTGCACGGTTGGTATATGTGATGGTAGTTTCAACGGAACCATACTCAGAGGATGGTGACAGTTGGGTTTGGTGGTTCAATGACAACAACAGAATCAGTGCCACCTGGTGGGTTGGTATATGTGATGGTAGTTTCAACAGATCCATACTCGGTGGTGGTGACAGTTGGGTTTGGTGGTTCAATGACAACAACAGAATCAGTACCACCTGGTGGGTTGGTATATGTGATGGTAGTTTCAACAGATCCATACTCGGTGGTGGTGACAGTTGGGTTTGGTGGTTCAATGACAACAACAGAATCAGTACCACCTGGTGGGTTGGTATATGTGATGGTAGTTTCACAACAGACCCATACTCGGTGGTGGTGACAGTTGGGTTTGGTGGTTCAATGACAACGACAGAATCAGTGCCACCTGCTGGGTTGGTATATGTGATGGTAGTTTCAACAGAACCATACTCGGTGGTGGTGACAGTTGGGTTTGGTGGTTCAATGATAACAACAGAATCAGTACCACCTGGTGGGTTGGTATATGTGATGGTGGTTGGTTCAGAAACAGATCCATACTCAGTAGATAGTGACAGTTGGGATTTGGTGGTTTCAATGACAACAACAGAATCAGTGCCACCTGGTGGGTTGGTATATGTGATGGTAGTTTCAACGGAACCATACTCGGTAGTAGTGACAGTTGGGTTTGGTGGTTCAGCGATAATAACAGAATCAGTGCCACCTGGTGGGTTGGTGTAGGTGATGGTGGTTGGTTCAGAAACAGATCCATACTCGGTAGTAGTGACAGTTGGGTTTGGTGGTTCAATGACAACAACAGACATTCAGTGCCACTCTGGTGGGTTGGTGTATGTGATGGTAGTTGGTTCAGAAACAGATCCATACTCCGGTGGTGGTGACAGTTGGGTTTGGTGGTTCAATGACAACAACAGAATCAGTACCACCTGGTGGGTTGGTATATGTGATGGTAGTTTCAACGGAACCATACTCGGTGGTGGTGACAGTTGGGTTTGGTGGTTCAATGACAACAACAGAATCAGTGCCACCTGGTGGGTTGGTGTAGGTGATGGTGGTTGGTTCAGAAACAGATCCATACTCAGTGGTAGTGACAGTTGGATTTGGAGTTGGTTCTTGAATGATGATGGTATCAACCGAGTCAGTAGAAGCAATGACAGTAGTTGAAGTGGTGAAGGTTCCAGTCCAGGGACTAGTAACAGTAGTAGTAGTATGATACGGTTCATCGACAATAACAGTAGCCGTTCCACCAATAGTACCAGTAATTGTGGTATAAGAAGTAGTAACTCCAATGTAGGAAGTGGTAGTTGTTACTGTTGGAATTGGAACAATCACTTCGATCGTTTTTGTGTGATCAACAGTCGGGTTGAAAGGCAATGTGGTAACAATAGTATTGGACTGAGTACCTGTAATAGTTGTAAGAACAACTACAGCACCATTTGAATCTGTGTCACTATTTGTATAGCCTGACCAAGTGACCGATTTCGAAGCATCTTTTTGGGAAGATCCAGCACATTGATATTTTGCAGTATAATCAATTTTATAATCCGAAGATGGAGCTTGAACCAATGCAGCAATATATGGACGATAGCCGGCTGGAATATTATTGAATGTTATTTGAAAACTTTTGGAAGTACAAGTTTGGGTATAAGAAAAGGAATCCGCTGAAGTTGGGTAGTTCCAGGAATTTAAAAGATTTGTAATGTAAGCTTCAGCACTGGAACAATCAATCAGAAATCTGGAATTAGAAGATGAGAAACCAAGAGTACCAGAAGTGTAACCATTTGGACAATCTGGGAGAATTGCAAGTGCATTAAGCTTGTTCAATGAAGGAACACTTCTTTGAAAGTAAAGGAGACCAGAAGAAGATCCAGTAGCTGCAGCAAAATAGGCTTGGGTACTGATTGATGTATCACCATCTTGGAAAGTAACAGTGTTTGTGCCAGCAGTGAAACAAGTAGAATCAGCAATATCAACAGAAGAACCAGAACCACCAACGTTAAATGCCAAAGGAATTGTGACTGTACCCATAGCTTCATGAACAGAACTTAACGAATCAGTAACAGTACAAGTCAAACTAGAGTAAGTAGTAAACTCTTCACCGGCATGAAGATCACATGTGGCATATGTAATACCATTGGCAGTCAAATCAACAGAAGTGGCAGACGTAGTGAACTTGAAGACACAGGGCATGATCAAAGTGAACGTATCACCTGGGGAAGTTGTTGTGCCATCTAACGACCAATCAAGCACGGCATTCCATGTTGGATATTGAGGACCTTGATAAGCATAATTACCAGCTTTATCCCAAGTTAAGGATTCAAATCCTATGAACACACCGGAAATTTCTTTAGCAACTGAAGTAGCAATCAATGCACAGCATAAGAGAGTTGTTTGTAGTAGAAACATGTTTGAAGAATCAATGAATTATAGAAAAATAATGTTGAATTCCAGAAAATTTAGGTTTGTCTATTTAAAATCTAAGAAAAGAAAAGTTGGTAAAACCAATCCTATTTATAGAATGAGTTTTCAAACTTTTTCAAGATGGGATAATTTAAGCAAAGGAGAGTAGAATTGAACAAAATAATACGTAATGTGGATATTTGAACTTGTACATTAACGGATGACATTGGATTATGAGTTCATGGATTTCACAGATTGCAAACATGAAATTCCTTAGAACACATTAAAAAGAGTTGACTAAGAGGGCGGTTGTTTTAAGTAATTTTGCAGCAATAACACAAATAATTTTCTAACTTTATAATTTTTTTTTTCTTTTTGTCAGACTTCGTTAATAAAAGAAGCTGATTGTTCTAGAAGTTTCAGATAAAGTCTTTGAACCAAGCTTACATTGATATTGATTGAATATTAGTGAGACATTATCAATCTTGATGAGCCATGTGAAACATTAAAGATCGACATTGCCTGTAAAAGCGCATGTAGTGGACTGCCAAAAAATCTCATCAACAACTCGAATAAGAGAGAAAATAGAAAAAGAGCAATTAAGAAAGCAATGTAAAGACAATAGGCAAAAGAAAGAAACAACAACAAAAAAAAAAATAATGAAAGGGAAAAGATTTACGTTTGTGTCTTATCTGTAAGTGCACAATGCATCAATAGGGAAATAAGAATAATAGGCCACTACGCAATTTTTTATAAATTTCAACGTGTAAACTCGGTTAATGTAAAAAGTATGATTTCTTAACATGGTTTCTATTTAATTTTTGGTTTGTGTTTCAAACTAAATAATCAAAAAGAAACCAATAATGGGTTTATTGACGGGATGAATGATTCTTTTAGGCCACTTCCATTACAGGGTCTTAGACAATGCCTACCCTCCCTTGCAAGTTTGTCGTGATTCTCAAAAATTAAAATCAGGGTAATAAGGTAAATAATGAATCTTATTCTTGTAATACTTCGTTCCCATCATACAACATTTCTACAATGTATATACTGTAAAAATATCTGTCATTTTCAATTTTTAATTACAAAAATCAAAATTGCCTATAAAATTCGACTATAATTTCATTTTGGGAAATTTACTCTAAAGGCAAATTTAAATCAAATATTTGTCCTTTCATTTTAAATTGCGGCACTTTCTGTGAACGGGACTCATTTCCGGGGAAGTTCAAGTATTTGATTTCTTGGTTTTAGTTTATTTTCAACCTATAGAAATCATAACCTTTAAAAAAATAAGATCACAATTACATCAATATTTACATTTAGTTAGGGTCAACCATGTAAATGATATCTTTTGTGTTGTATAAAAAAACATCATGACTTATTTTTCTTTTTCACCTACAATTAACATAGAAAATGAATGGAAACAACACATACAGTAAAGATAGGAAAATAATTCGTAACGTAAAGTTGATGATGTAATTTCCCAAAACGCTTCGTTTGCTCGATTAAGCCTCAAAATTCGAAACATCCAACTTTATGCATGCATAACCATAAACTCTAATTTCAATATAATCAGGGTTCCGTTTTTTGAATCCCAGCAACGAGTTTTGAGTATTTGATTCAAAGGAAGGTGTAGATAGGTACATACCTAATATTCATACACAACCGACAAGTTCGTCAATGTACTTTAGTATCAACACAACAATTTCTACCAGGTAGTGTCACGCATTCAATTTAGTAAAAAGGTCTTTTTTTTTCTTGAACAATAGCCAATACTGTTAGTGTAAGTATAGAAGTAAGAGAAAATAATATACTTCGGAAGAAGGCGAAGAAGATGATGATGTGAAAAAATTTTATATTCAAAAGAGATGAGCAAATTTAAAATAATGCAAAAATTGCTAAACATCATATGTTTCTATTGTTATTCTATAAATACACAATAGGGCAAGGGAAATACAGATGATGGACTTTTATTTTTTCCGAAATGAAATTTTGTAATCATATTTCCGTTTCCGCATACCTTTTTTGCTTAATTGGGAAATTATCCGCGCAATTACTACAGATTTGTTCCGCTTTCAAAAGCAATAGAAGAAGCAAAAATTAGAACAGCAAGTTGTGCGCCAACCAATAATGCAAACTTGCAGATACTTGACTAATCAATTATAATAAACTTAAACATCAAGAAATTTTTCAGGTTTGAAAGTCTACAGAACTGTACAATTAATGGATACGACAGAAAACAAGAATTGTGTTTGAGGTCACCAGCTTTCCCAATTTTGTTGACCATGCTAAATAAGTTACATAGCAAAATTAAACGTTTGTTCTTACCATTGACTTAAAAAGTATGGATACAAATTTAAACACGGATCCTAACTTAATACTGGATATCATACAACATATTAATTCTCATTAATTTTGATGTGTCACTAATATGAAAAAATGAAATGTAATAATACTAAAAAAATTGTACAATAGGGCTGAGGTTCTTAAACAATGTGTATTGAAGTCAACAAATAATAGCAATCGCAAAAATACCAGAAAAAGTACCAAGTACTTTACGAACCCAGTCTGGATTGGAAAAAACCATAAGCTCGTATCCATGGTTATTTATATTCTTTTTGAATAATTCTAGTTTTTTTTTTCAATCTTTGGACCCTTGATATATGATATTATCTACTGAAGTAATTCTTCTAATCGTACTAATATGTAAAATTGATTATTTAAAGGTTAGAAAACCATAAAGATTTTGAATATTGCTTTCAACTGTAAGAGGTTCTAATATATCTTATTTCCAAAAATTTACATATTGTACATATTTGTGTTGGGAATATTATGGAGGTTAAAAATAGAATTTTATTAACATAGTAATCAATTGCGTTGCGATTTCCATAAATTTTGAAGTATACTTTGCATTGAGATTTGTGAAATTTTTCAATTATAAACCCTTGAATATCGGATATCAAGTCGTGTCAAGTGAATCCTCGTAGAAGAAGTTTCCATCAAATGTACAGCTAATTTAGTTTTAAAAGAATTCACTTTTTTTCTTGTAACGTAGAATTTTTCAATGATTGAAAAGAACAAGGGAATCAGAATTCGTCGTAAGTAACTTGAATTGATGCGTTGAAAATGTGTATCAACACATGCATTGGGGGGGGGGGGGGAGGAAGTTTCCAAATGAAATTCCCAGATGTAAACAAACGATTTTTTTCTGGTGTGCGTAGAAATTCTATTGGCTGTTAAGAATAAACAAATGATTTTTACAATCGAAATCATTATTCACCAAATCCCGTTTCAACTACTCCGAATGCTTTAAAAAATTGTTCAGTTAATTATACTTGAAATAATAAGTAGAGTTTTGTAAAATTATTCTATATTATATCTACGATCCTAAATTATATGCTGCCACTATTAATCAACAGTTTTTGCTATATTTGGCTCAAAAATAAGAACTCAACATTAATCTAACCAGCTTGCATAAAACTAATTGGTATTTACACGTTAAATATGATAAAGTAGGTTCTTAAAAATAGTTAATTTATGCACGACTTTTATTTACTGAAAATTGATCGTGCGAACTTTCAAAAAAAAAACGTTTGTTTAGTGCTGGGAATTTCATTTGGAAACTTTTGTCCTCCCCAACCTCCACCACTGTAGAATAAGTAGTAAGGAATATGTTGTCTCTGGAGTATATGCTGTAATCACGGAAATGTAACATTCGAGTCAGTTAGCTAGTATTCTCCGCGATCATGGGTGGGAGTGTGAAATGGGGATACACATAAAACAAGCGAAACCAATTAGTCGTGTACAATATCAAAGATTTTGTTGATTTTGCCTAAACAAAAATTTTACAATCTCTTTACCAGGAAGTCAAAAACAAATACAAGAATCTGGAAAGGAAAAGAAATACAATTTGGTGAATGAGCACCATAAATTTAACATATTGTGAACAACCTCTTTCTTGTTCGAATATTTATTGTAAGATCTGGTAAACTAATTCAGTATTCAACCGATTGTGATATAACAAATTGCTGTAGTCTATGGACATTTTGTTAGCGAAACGTTTTATATTTATGATGATATTTGATGTTAGATTACTAACCAGTGTCGTAGTATTTTTATTGTTTTGTTGGACCAAGTACAATATTTGCTGGAGTTTTGCAACCAAAAAACATACAAAAAAAAAAAAAAAAGAAGAGAATGTAAAAAAACAAGAAATATCCCTTTTCTAGTACATACCACATCAAATTACTGAAACAACATGAAATTGTGGGAAATAAACGTCTATGCCACATTTTTAATTATTTACATGCCCCAGCTTGCTTGCAAATTAATACCCCTTCGGTTGTTCATAGAATCCAATAATGGAACGTTGGATGGTATGGGATTGTATTCTTTACATGAAGGTGAAGGCTACAATTTCTTCTTTTTGGGACAACCACAGGAAGCACAAGAATTTGTTTATGACACCAGAATGTATCATATTTACTTTTATTATCAATATTTTGTCAAGTACAAATTAACGATCTGTAACAGCTTCTTGCAATTGTCCTATGTCCATTACCCATTCAAGGTTAAGATCAAGAAAAATGGAGAGTTGCAGTTCACAGGATATAAAAATCTATATGCGGTTAAAAATGTCAATGATCCACATTCTTATTCTACTCAAAAGTATGCCGTATATTACTACAAAAATAAGAAGTTGGTTCCCCCAGACGCGATTGAAGTTAAAATTACCGCAGGGCCAATAGTTAATGAAAGTCGTGTGACTGTTCCAAAAATTCATTAAAACAGAATTCTATTTTTCTTCCTCTTCCTGAACTGCGGCGTAATATTTCCTATTTTAGATATCGGGCAACTTTTCTTACTCATCCCTAATTTTCTGGCTTTATTTTCTTCATGTAAGTAATTAGCAAATCTCCACAAAATAAATAGCTAAGAGAAATACCATCAGAGTTCTTTTTTTTTTATTATTATTATTATACTTTGATATACAAAATATTGTTGATTAAGAATTAGCTATAATTACTATTCCTAAATGAAGCTTCTACTACTTTTATTCCCTTTATGTGTACTTGCTACAATATCAACGATACAACTAGTGGTTCGGTCTGACAACCAAGAAATTGATGGTAAGCCATTAACAATCAAATTTGAAGAATTTTACAGGTACTATTTATTTGTTGGCGATGAGCCAGCATTCCTCCAATACGATGACGTAAACAAGGTGATTTTTTATGATAACAAGGTGAGATACTATTTGTCTCTTCATAATAATATTCTCCAGTTGTCTCCTGATACACCATTAACAATTGATCGGAAAGAAGATGGTCATATTTTAGAAGCTTATGGGGTAAAGAATATTGATGATCCTCAAGATTATTCGTACACCAGTTATGCTATTTGGTACGGAGCTGATCCCCCAGTTGATGCTTTGCCATTGTCTATATACGAGATTCACTGAATTTGCGATACTGCTAATAATTATATTCACTATATTTCAATTTGCCATCATTTGATGAAAACTTTAAAAAGTTTCCCATTTCCTCCAGAATTATGTCCCCCCATTCTTGATTTCTACAATCTTATTATCCATTTTTTTTTTCTTTTTCAACGATGAGAGGGGGTCTTCTATATATGTCACGTTCTATTTCCGATTCTATAAATAAACATGTGGAGAAATAGCAAATTCAGTTCATGAAAATATAAAGGAGCTGATCCACGCTGTTACATATCCCATTAGCTAAACTTTTTCATCTTCATTTATACCAAACTTTTACAATGTTAATACTCAATATTGTTCCCTTTTTATTGTTGCTAACAATCACACAGGCTAATGTCAATTTGTATGTCCTTGCTGATAACTTTCTCAATGGTTCTGCGGTAGTGGTAGGTAATTATGATAATGTGTTAGACAATTCGACCTTGTCTATTGGCACAGACCCTACTTACTTATATTATGATTCACGTTATATCACCTATTATCCTGGTGGTTCCCCCAGTATTTGGTGGGTATTGGTATTCAATGATGATCGCAAATTGGAGTTGGCTTTTCGAGGACAAGACCGTGAAAACATGCCTGGTGCAATAAATGTCACGATTGGCGATAATGGCTGTGTCGCTTTCAATGGCTCCAACTCTTTATTTTACTATGGTAATTCGTTCTACTCTTATCCCAATGGTGGTGCACCATATTCTGCAATCCCGGTGAATTTGTATGCCAAGCATATGCTGTAATTGACTCTATTCATCAAACTTATTTACTTTCATTTTGCTCTACATCGTATAGTTTTTGTTTCTCTCTCGTTTTATTTTGTCACAATAAGATGTCTTAACTTGGTTATCTATACTCTATTTTAACATTCTCTTCAATGAAAGCTAGATGTCCTTCCAAGACTATTCCTAAACTTCCAAATTTCGAGTCCAAATTTCGGATTTTCCTTCACGCGATTTTTTTTTTTTTCAGTTTCCGATGATTACCTTTTTATTTTGCGGGTGAGAGAACAAAGCAAAAAAATATTTCGTCGTTCCCCCGGGATCTCTACCAATTTGGCTATTAATGCGGCTCAACACCCAATTGACCTATTAAATTTAAGCATTTTGTAATCCATCTAGTGCTGGAAAAAAAAAAACACCAATCAGCTGGGGACAATTAAACTACACCAACTATACATAGTTCATTACCCATTGACCACCATACTGGATCACTCAAAGTATTGAAGAATACTAATAGGATGTTTGTAGATCAACTAAATATATTATACTTTTTTTTTGGTGTCAGTCAGCCCATGTATTCCTTGAGTTGGATTTGAACAAAAAAAAAAAAAATCTTAGTCGAATGAAATCACCTTTACACACACACACTCTCTCCAGGAAACAAGGAAAAAAAAAAATTCTCTCCCTAGTACTTAACCTTCTTCTTTTTCCCCAAAAATTTCATTCAATTCACCAACAGTATTCCTTTAGGATTGGAATCGAAAGAAGGATAACTAGCTAGACATATTTATTTGTTTGATAAGAGAGTATAAAGCACAAATCACGAACATAAATACCCTTCCACAAACAAAGAGAAATTGCAAACACTAGGCCCAAACCATTGATTTTTTTTTTATTTATTTATTTTATTGTACTTTATTTATTGAAAGTTTTCTATTTATTTGAAAATTGTTCCAGAGTAGGTCATTCCAATTACTAAAATGTTGTCATCTTTTCGTAACCAAATAAGAAGTTCCGCTTCAAAAAGATTTTTGTCTTCTTCTAGTGTTAGATCTCAAGTTATTGGTTCTAACGTTAAAGGTCAAGACTTTAACGCTGCCAAATACATGAGCCAAAAGTACCATGTTATCGATCATGAATATGATTGTGTTGTTTTGGGTGCTGGTGGTGCAGGTTTAAGAGCTGCATTCGGTTTAGTTTCTGAAGGTTTTAAAACTGCTTGTATTTCCAAATTATTCCCAACCAGATCTCATACTGTTGCTGCTCAAGGTGGTATTAATGCTGCTTTAGGTAACATGCATCCAGATGACTGGCATTGGCATTTCTACGATACCGTTAAAGGTTCAGATTGGTTGGGTGATCAAGATGCCATTCACTATATGACCAAAGAAGCCCCTGCTTCTATTTACGAATTGGAACATTATGGTGTTCCATTTTCCAGAAATGAAGAAGGTAGAATTTATCAAAGAGCTTTTGGTGGTCAATCCAAAGAATTTGGTAAAGGTGGTCAAGCTTACAGAACTTGTGCTGTTGCCGATAGAACTGGTCACGCCTTGTTGCACTCCTTGTACGGTCAATCTTTGAGACACGATTGTCATTTCTTCATTGAATTTTTTGGTTTAGATTTGATGATGAAAGATGGTACTTGTATTGGTGTTATTGCTTACAACCAAGAAGATGGTACTTTGCATAGATTCTTTGCCAACAGAACCGTTATTGCCACTGGTGGTTATGGTAGAGCTTACTTCTCATGTACTTCTGCTCACACCTGTACTGGTGATGGTTACGCTATGGTTTCCAGAGCTGGATTGCCATTAGAAGATTTGGAATTCGTCCAATTCCACCCATCTGGTATCTATGGTTCAGGTTGTCTTATCACTGAAGGTGCTAGAGGTGAAGGTGGTTTCTTGATCAACTCTGAAGGTGAAAGATTCATGGAAAGATATGCCCCATCTGCCAAGGATTTGGCCTCTAGAGATGTTGTTTCTAGAGCCATTACTATGGAAATCAACGAAGGCAGAGGTGTTGGTCCAGAAAAAGATCACATGTACTTGCAATTGAGTCATATTCCTGCTGCTGTCTTGAAGGAAAGATTGCCAGGTATTTCTGAAACTGCCCACATTTTCGCTGGTGTTGATGTCACCAAAGAACCAATCCCAATTTTACCAACTGTTCATTACAATATGGGTGGTATCCCAACTAACTGGCAAGGTGAAGTTTTGAAGAAGGGTCCAGATGGTAAAGACGAAGTTGTTCCAGGTTTGTTGGCTTGTGGTGAATCTGCATGTGCTTCAGTTCATGGTGCTAACAGATTGGGTGCCAACTCTTTGTTAGATTTGGTTGTTTTCGGTAGAGCTGTCGCTCACACTGTTAAAGGTAACTTGAAGCCAGGTACTCCAATTCCAGACCATCCAAAGGATATTGGTTACGAATCTATTGCTAACTTGGATAAATTGAGAAATGCTAGCGGTTCTAGACCAACTGCTGATATCAGATTGGACATGCAAAAGACTATGCAAAAGGGTTGTGCTGTTTTCAGAACTCAAGACACTTTGGATCAATGTGTGGAACATATTGCTGAAATTGACAAGAGCTTTGAAGATGTTAAAACTACTGACCGTTCTATGATCTGGAACTCTGATTTGGTTGAAACTTTGGAATTGCAAAACTTGTTGACTTGTGCTACTCAAACTGCTGTTTCTGCCGCTGCTAGAAAAGAATCTAGAGGTGCTCATTCCCGTGACGATTTCCCAGACAGAGATGATGTCAACTGGAGAAAACACACTTTTGTCTTACCAAGACAAATTTGGTGCTCCAGTTAAATTGGATTACAGAGATGTTGTTAAGACCACATTGGATGAAAATGACTGTAAACCAGTTCCTCCAGCTAAGAGAGTCTATTAGTCAATTTATACTTTATTTATCGTATATGTACGTGTACATAGTACAACTATAAACATGAAATATTAAAATTCAATAAAATTAGTAAATAATTGAAAGTAAAATTGTACTTTTATTTTTTCTTCATAATTATATACAATGACGGGTTAATTTTTAGTTTGGTTAATAGACGCTTTACTTTCCTTCAGTTTTTTTTTTTGTCTTTGTTATTGGGTTTGTTTGGTTAGTTTGTGTAAAAGAACACAAAATCCACTTCCTCGGGTAAGAGTACAAATTTTTTACAGTAACTTTTCTTCCTTTATTGATACTCATTCTTCCGAAAACCCCCGAGCAGTTGCGCTACCAGAAAATGTAAAGTTAACCACAACTCTGTCTGCAGTAATTTTTCATTGCTTTTTAGCATTTTTCTTGTTATAACATTTGATGATGATGGTGGTAGGCACAGTTTGAAAGTTATTTATAGATAGAATTATATACACGACCTTTTGGTTGCACTTGAAGGTCAAAATATATAAAGTTTACCTTTGATATAAACTACATATTGAATTTTACTATGTGTTATTATTTTATACAGATATAATTTTTTTTTGATATATAGAACCTTTATAACGCTTCCCTGTACCCGTTTTTAGTTCTTTTTATACCAATATTAGTCCATCCTTTAAACAAATTTACCAGAATTTCAGACTTTGTGTTGTTTTCAATGCGCGGAAAGAAAACTTCAATATGCCCTTTGAGAATATGGATTGTTGCAGTTACGAAACTTTATACGCATATAGAAGAATTGAAACGTGGAGAATAAGTAAATAAAGAGTGAATCAAAGGGAATAACAATGAATTTCTAGGACAAATATTCGGTCTATTCATATTTTAATAAAAAATGCGAGAATATAATTCAAGTACTTGTATAGAACATAAAAATACTACCGTAATTTTCAGTAAAGAAGCATATAAAATCTTCACCTGCAATTTTGCACCAAAAGGAACCAATCAAGCTAGTTACAATACAACACCATACAAAACTAAACAAAACAAAAGAAAACACAGAAATAATGAATTTACTAAAAACGGGTGTTTGGTCTTCAGAGTTCGGTGCTATTGCCACATTTCCCTGTTTTGCCGACCAATCACTATTGTTTATTACCAACTATTGAACACAAATATTAATCTTGGAAGTATCCAATTATTTTGGTTATATCTAACAAGTGCGTATACATTAATTTGCTTGAGTGGAAACTAAAACTAATCTCTTGATAATAGTAATAAAATTAAAGACTAAACCAACATTACCCTCATTGTTATTTTAGTTTTCAACAAGGGATTAAAGGGACTTAAATCACTATCGCAGTCAGTAAGTTTATTTCTGATTCAAAAGTTCGTAATGCAGTACGTTTGAAATTAACCCGGTAAGTTGTATTTTCCCGATACCGGTATTGCATTTAATTTTAATAACTGGTTTCTAGATTTGGCCAGACTTGAAGCTCTACTTGCGTTCTTCCTTTTTGTTACTTAAGAGGTATTATGAGATAAAGAGTTTCTTGAAAGTGCATTGAGATTCTTAGACACCTGAAAACTTTTTGAAGTGTTCTATTTGTTTTTTCTTGCAGGTCTCGTACGACGAATTTAAATTGTGTGGATCTGATTATAAACAATCCTCTAATTGAGATTTGAAAGCGCAATAATATTGAAATGACCACTTCTGGAAATAATAACGGGTATAATACTTGAATGCCAAGAGAACTCTACGTCATATAACTTGGTGAAGAAAAAGAAACAAGCTGAGTAACATGCAAAAAGATGCTTTGCTTGAAATAAAACCGACACCTGAGGATTTCCCTTTCCTTGTACTGCATCGGATTTGTTCTCAATATGATAACGCAATTCGTTAGACTTAGCATAAATTGACTTAATACTCTCAAATTTTTCCAACATATGTTCAAAGTCGTAGCTAATATCTCACACAGTGTCGTGCATGGATGTCTCACAACCGCTAGTGTAAGATGCAAAGATAACACGAACATTCAATACTGGCTCTTGGATGATGTAAAGTTCGAGTGCAGATTACATTCAAAACGGCTCTCGGTATTTCTTAATATTCCAATGATGTTGCAGGCAACATGTAATGCGCCACAAGCATTGTCAAAAAGAAAAAAAAAAAAAAAAACTGATTCTAATTTTAACAGAGTATTTGAGAGATTTTAGTAATTAAAATCGATGAGCTGGATAATAGTATTACAGTAACAGCAAAAATTAAAAGAACAATGGGAAAACCCCTCTTCCTAAATATTTTTTCACTAAAAGCTGAATGATTCTAAAGAATACATAAAGTAGAAAAACAAACAAACAAAGAAAACAAACTAGATCACAAAATAAATGAAGAAATCTACAAACGAACGTGGATAATTATTCATTCATTATTCGTAAATATCAATCTATTCTATCGAAGTTCAATTCTCGTAATAAAGAACAAGGAGAAGGATTTCTCCTATTTTTTTTATTCTTTGCCTTTTGTTTCCACAGTCCAAATAATCGAACGATTAAGAAGGCAAAAGTGTCGAATTAAATCAATGCAAAGCAATTTCAAATTTCATATTTGTCACTTGACTTTTTGTTCTCCATTTTTCGATTTCTATTATCCCTGTTGAACAAACGCAATAACTGCTTGGCATATTTGAGCCATAGAATATAGAAAAAGAACCAAGGAAGAAAGTACTGTAGTTATTTTTTTTTCTTAAACCAATTGACCAATATTCTATTTTTGATAGATTTACGATCATATATTATTTGAGTTGTCAGTTCGAAAAGGGAAACAGCATTACACTTGTCTTTTTTTTAGAAATTTTCATTTTAGGGAAAACTGATAGATCTTACATCGACGCACTAATAAACTTATCCCGCCAATTGTGTGCAAGAGGATGCCTAATAAACGAAGATATATAATGGCGATAATGCCGAACAAATTAAATGAATTCTGGCTATGTATTAATATAAACCATGTGAAATGCTGATTACCAAGTAGCTCATTTAAAAGTATCCCAATGATGGTAAAATTTTCTTATCATCTTGTTTTGCTCTAATTTAAATTTGCTTGTGTATTCTCTTTTACCAAGACATTTCGTTGTTAATCATCTGATTTTGAACGAATTGCACACAACAAGTGACTAGAAATCGCTAGTCTTGAAATTCGGCGAATGATGGTTAGTCACGTAAAAATATCAACAGACGCCTTTCCGAGCTCTTTGAAAAAAGTGATTTTAGTCAATATTGATGAACTAAAATGAACTGTTGAAAGCACAATACTGCACATTAAACAACACTAAGACCAAAATTGCCTAAATGCTGCAAAACCAAAATTGTGCGCACAGTTTAAAACGGATAGCAAGAGACAAGGAAAAAAAAAGAAAGTACCACATTAAATCACACAAGGAAAACAAATTCCACTTTGTTTTATTGATTCATTATAATTTACACGATATACAGGAAAACTGGTCCAAGAGACACCATTTCCAGTATTCCTCAGGTTTATTCTTTAGCCGATTGGCGTATTTTACTTCCATCGCCAATCTTAATCTTACATGAATCTCGGTTCAAGATATAAAATAATAATTGTTGCTTCTAACAACCCAACCTCTTTGAGCTCAATTGGTAGAATTGTAGATTATGAGATTAATTAAAAACCAGTAGCAAAGACACTACCGATAGTATAAAAGTACTAAAAGTTTTTATTCTATTAGAACAAAGACAAATTTTTTTTATTGTGGAGATTGTGACAATTTCATTTTACCGTTCGTTTCGCAGCGCATAGATTGAACAAAAGGGAGCAAGAACTCTGAAAGGAAAATTGCTCGCCTATACATGTATAATGGGCAAAATATGTAGTATTATTGCTGTTTATAGTCAAAACCATTACCGCTGGAGCCCTCTAGCGACTTAAGATACGTATATGTATTTCTTTTTTTTTTATGTTTTAGTTTTAGTGTATTTTGTCTCACTATATCACCAAGTGTCAAACCCATTTGTGTGTGTGTGTGTGTGTGTTTGTCTTTTGGAACACTCAAAAACGGAATTTCATCCTGGTTTGAACCGAATTATAGGGTTTGGGGATGTCCTCAGGTTGAACCCAATGCTCACCATCAATCATAATACCATTCCACATTATTCCATTATCAAAGAAAGTCACAGCTATTCACCAAATAGATCTTGGGGCCATTAATCTGTTGCAATATGAAGCTGGAAATGTGGACATCATTGTTACCGTCCTGATAATTGATAGCTTAATTTCTAGAATTAGTTGTGCAGCTTTTTTTTTTGGATTTTGCATCTCGCATTTTTTTTTCTAAAGATTTCTTTTTTTTTTCTCACTCACACGCTTTTTTTTTCTTCTGGTTAGTGCGGCAACAGAAATAACTGATGATTAAAATTGTTCACTTAGTTCCATAAACGTAATCTAAATTGAATACCTATTTTTATACATTTGAACCACGCCTTTACTAGAGATGTACAAAAAGATGTGGATTCTAAAAATTAGATATAAATGAATCGACATCCCCCATCCTGGAAGATTAAGGTAAATTTTGCCTTTCTCTTCTAGAACTCCATTAACTACAATAAATATGAATTTCGTACTGTTATTGTTTACATTGCTCCTTTTAGTCACTCGAGCAACGTCAAAAACACTTACTGGAGTTTTCCAAAGTTTTAATTCGTTGACTTGGGAGAAAGCAGCTCTGTATAAATACAGAGGACCGCAATTTCCGACATGGAACGCTGCTGTTAATTGGGCATTGGATTCCAATGCTAATGCCGGTGATACATTTACCTTAATTATGCCATGTGTTTTTAAATTTACTACTAGTGAAACTTCTATTGATTTAACTGTGGGTAGTAAATCCTATGCTACTTGTAATTTCAATGCTGGGGAACATTTTACCACTTTTTCTAGTTTGAGTTGTACTGTGACACAGAGTGTTCCTGATAATACCAATGCATATGGTACAATCACTGTTCCACTTGCCTTTAATGTTGGGGGTTCTGGTCGTGATGTCGATACTACTGATGCAAAGTGTTTTACTACAGGTGACAATACTGTTACATTTAGTGATGGTGATAAATCATTCTCAACTACAGCAAATTTTGAAGGTGCTGGTACTTTGAATGATGATTATGAATCTTCAAGACTCATTCCTTCACTTGGTAAAACTGATGCTTTGTTGGTTGCACCATTGTGTTCCAATGGGTATAAATCAGGTACTATTGGGTTTTCTTCGAAAGCAAGCGGTTATTCAATTGATTGTAACAATATTCAAGCTGGTATTACTAGTCAATTGAATGCATGGGGTTTTCCAACGGACCTGCAAAGCTTTTCATACACCACTCAATGTACTACCACTAGTTATTCCATAACTTTTAGTACTATTCCAAAAGGTTTACGTCCATTCATTGATGCCTATATTAAAACACCTACTTCCACATATGCGGTGACATACACTTTCAAATATGTTTGTGCCGATGGAAAATCATATAATAGTAATCGAAGTTTGAATTGGTCCGGATATGTTAACGGTGATGCAGATTCTGAAGGTATGGAAATTGTTGTTGCTACTACTACTGGTACTGGTTCTACTACTGGTGTTACAACATTACCATTTGATAAAACCAAAGACAAAACCAAAACAATTCAAGTTATTGAACCAATTCCAACTACAACAGTTACTACTTCATACCTCGGTGTCACAACCTCTTTTTCCACCATTACTGCTACTATCGGTGGAACTGCTACTGTCATTGTTGATGAACCATACCATTCTACCACTACGGTTTACAAACCTTGGACTGGTGAAGGTACCACAACATACACTGTCACCGCTTCCGATGATTCAATTGATACAGTTGTAATTGAAACACCTGGACCTAACCCAACTGTCACCACCACTGAATATGATGATGTTCCTGCAGCTACTACCTACACTGAAACCGCTACTCACGGTGGTACTGATACTGTTCACGTCATTGAACCAATCAACCCAACTGTCACCACCACTGAATACGAAGACGTTTCAGCTGCTACTACCTACACTGAAACTGCTACTCACGGTGGTACCGATACTGTTCACGTCATTGAACCAATCAACCCAACTGTCACCACCACTGAATACGAAGACGTTTCAGCTGCTACTACCTACACTGAAACTGCTACTCACGGTGGTACCGATACTGTTCACGTCATTGAACCAATCAACCCAACTGTCACCACCACTGAAATACGAAGACGTTTCAGCTGCTACTACCTACACTGAAACTGCTACTCACGGTGGTACCGATACTGTTCACGTCATTGAACCAATCAACCCAACTGTCACCACCACTGAATACGAAGATGTTTCAGCTGCTACTACCTACACTGAAACTGCTACTCACGGTGGTACTGACACTGTTCACGTCATTGAACCAATCAACCCAACTGTCACCACCACTGAATACGAAGACGTTTCAGCTGCTACTACCTACACTGAAACTGCTACTCACGGTGGTACTGACACTGTTCACGTCATTGAACCAGTTAACCCAACTGTTACCACCTCTGAATACGAAGATGTTTCAGCTGCTACTACCTACACTGAAACCGCTACTCACGGTGGTACTGATACTGTTCACGTCATTGAACCAATCAACCCAACTGTTACTACCACTGAATACGAAGATGTTTCAGCTGCTACTACCTACACTGAAACCGCTACTCACGGTGGTACTGACACTGTTCACGTCATTGAACCAATCAACCCAACTGTCACCACCACTGAATACGAAGACGTTTCAGCTGCTACTACCTACACTGAAACTGCTACTCACGGTGGTACCGATACTGTTCACGTCATTGAACCAATCAACCCAACTGTCACCACCACTGAATACGAAGACGTTTCAGCTGCTACTACCTACACTGAAACTGCTACTCACGGTGGTACCGATACTGTTCACGTCATTGAACCAATCAACCCAACTGTCACCACCACTGAATACGAAGATGTTTCAGCTGCTACTACCTACACTGAAACTGCTACTCACGGTGGTACTGACACTGTTCACGTCATTGAACCAATCAACCCAACTGTCACCACCACTGAATACGAAGACGTTTCAGCTGCTACTACCTACACTGAAACTGCTACTCACGGTGGTACCGATACTGTTCACGTCATTGAACCAATCAACCCAACTGTTACTACCACTGAATACGAAGACGTTTCAGCTGCTACTACCTACACTGAAACTGCTACTCACGGTGGTACCGATACTGTTCACGTCATTGAACCAATCAACCCAACTGTCACCACCACTGAATACGAAGATGTTTCAGCTGCTACTACCTACACTGAAACTGCTACTCACGGTGGTACTGACACTGTTCACGTCATTGAACCAGTTAACCCAACTGTCACCACCACTGAATACGAAGATGTTTCAGCTGCTACTACCTACACTGAAACTGCTACTCACGGTGGTACCGATACTGTTCACGTCATTGAACCAATCAACCCAACTGTCACCACCACTGAATACGAAGATGTTTCAGCTGCTACTACCTACACTGAAACTGCTACTCACGGTGGTACCGATACTGTTCACGTCATTGAACCAGTTAACCCAACTGTTACTGTTACTGAATTTGGCTCTGTTTCTGCTGCTACCACTACCACTTTCACCAACCCAGCAGGTGAGACTGATACTGTTTTAGTTATTGAACCAGTCAACCCAACTGTCACTGTTACTGAATTCGGCTCTGTTTCTGCTGCTACTACCTACACCGAAACCGATTCACTTGGTGGTACCGACACTGTTCACGTCATTGAACCAGTCAACCCAACTGTTACTGTTACTGAATTCGGCTCTGTTTCTGCTGCTACTACCTACACCGAAACCGATTCACTTGGTGGTACCGACACTGTTCACGTCATTGAACCAGTCAACCCAACTGTCACTGTCACTGAATTCGGCTCTGTTTCTGCTGCTACTACCTACACCGAAACCGATTCACTTGGTGGTACCGATACTGTTCACGTCATTGAACCAGTCAACCCAACTGTTACTGTCACTGAATTCGGCTCTGTTTCTGCTGCTACCACTACCACTTTCACCAACCCAGCAGGTGAAACTGATACTGTTTTAGTTATTGAACCAGTCAACCCAACTGTCACTGTCACTGAATTCGGCTCTGTTTCTGCTGCTACTACCTACACCGAAACCGATTCACTTGGTGGTACCGATACTGTTCACGTCATTGAACCAGTTAACCCAACTGTTACTGTTACTGAATTCGGCTCTGTTTCTGCTGCTACCACTACCACTTTCACCAACCCAGCAGGTGAAACTGATACTGTTTTAGTTATTGAACCAGTCAACCCAACTGTCACTGTCACTGAATTCGGCTCTGTTTCTGCTGCTACTACCTACACCGAAACCGATTCACTTGGTGGTACCGATACTGTTCACGTCATTGAACCAGTTAACCCAACTGTTACTGTTACTGAATTCGGCTCTGTTTCTGCTGCTACCACTACCACTTTCACCAACCCAGCAGGTGAAACTGATACTGTTTTAGTTATTGAACCAGTTAACCCAACTGTCACTGTCACTGAATTCGGCTCTGTTTCTGCTGCTACCACTACCACTTTCACCAACCCAGCAGGTGAAACTGATACTGTTTTAGTTATTGAACCAGTCAACCCAACTGTCACTGTCACTGAATTCGGCTCTGTTTCTGCTGCTACCACTACCACTTTCACCAACCCAGCAGGTGAAACTGATACTGTTTTAGTTATTGAACCAGTTAACCCAACTGTCACTGTCACTGAATTCGGCTCTGTTTCTGCTGCTACCACTACCACTTTCACCAACCCAGCAGGTGAAACTGATACTGTTTTAGTTATTGAACCAATCAACCCAACTGTTACTGTCACTGAATTCGGCTCTGTTTCTGCTGCTACCACTACCACTTTCACCAACCCAGCAGGTGAAACTGATACTGTTTTAGTTATTGAACCAGTCAACCCAACTGTCACTGTCACTGAATTCGGCTCTGTTTCTGCTGCTACTACCTACACCGAAACCGATTCACTTGGTGGTACCGACACTGTTCACGTCATTGAACCAGTTAACCCAACTGTCACTGTCACTGAATTCGGCTCTGTTTCTGCTGCTACCACTACCACTTTCACCAACCCAGCAGGTGAAACTGATACTGTTTTAGTTATTGAACCAGTCAACCCAACTGTCACTGTCACTGAATTCGGCTCTGTTTCTGCTGCTACCACTACCACTTTCACCAACCCAGCAGGTGAAACTGATACTGTTCACGTCATTGAACCAGTTAACCCAACTGTCACTGTCACTGAATTCGGATCTGTTTCTGCTGCTACTACCTACACTGAAACTGATTCACTTGGTGGTACCGATACTGTTCACGTCATTGAACCAGTCAACCCAACTGTCACTGTCACTGAATTCGGCTCTGTTTCTGCTGCTACTACCTACACTGAAACTGATTCACTTGGTGGTACCGATACTGTTCACGTCATTGAACCAGTCAACCCAACTGTCACTGTCACTGAATTCGGCTCTGTTTCTGCTGCTACTACCTACACCGAAACCGATTCACTTGGTGGTACCGACACTGTTCACGTCATTGAACCAGTTAACCCAACTGTTACTGTTACTGAATTTGGCTCTGTTTCTGCTGCTACCACTACCACTTTCACCAACCCAGCAGGTGAGACTGATACTGTTTTAGTTATTGAACCAGTCAACCCAACTGTCACTGTTACTGAATTTGGCTCTGTTTCTGCTGCTACCACTACCACTTTCACCAACCCAGCAGGTGAGACTGATACTGTTTTAGTTATTGAACCAGTCAACCCAACTGTCACTGTTACTGAATTCGGCTCTGTTTCTGCTGCTACCACTACCACTTTCACCAACCCAGCAGGTGAGACTGATACTGTTTTAGTTATTGAACCAGTCAACCCAACTGTCACTGTTACTGAATTCGGCTCTGTTTCTGCTGCTACTACCTACACCGAAACTGATTCACTTGGTGGTACCGATACTGTTCACGTCATTGAACCAGTTAACCCAACTGTTACTGTCACTGAATTCGGATCTGTTTCTGCTGCTACTACCTACACCGAAACCGATTCACTTGGTGGTACCGACACTGTTCACGTCATTGAACCAGTCAACCCAACTTTTACTGTTACTGAGTTCGGATCTGTTTCTGCTGCTACTACCTACACTGAAACCGATACTGTTGGTGGTACCGACACTGTTCATGTTGTTGAACCAGTTGTCTCCTCTGAAGGTGATTATAGTTCGGAGTCTTTGTTCACAAGTACCACATTATCTAGTTTGGAAACCAGTAGTGTGGAAAGTCTGGTTGAAGTCTCGGTAAGTATTTTGCCAGATGATGAAGCGCCTTTGGATGATTTTTTCGGCAAGCTTCCACCTGAGTTTAATTATGAAGATGATGGTTTTGGTGTACCTGTGCCTGAAGGTGGTTTAACTACTACTACCACTATTCCAGGCTCAGTTGCTACTACTTACACTGTTATAGAATCCGGCGCAATTGTTGAAACTGTTGTTGTTGTTGAACCATCTGCTATTGAATCTTCATCTGCTATTGAATCTTCATCTGCTATCGAATCATCTTCTGCTATTGAATCATCATCTGCTATTGAATCATCTAGTGAAGATTATCCATTAACTCTTGATGCTGAATCCTTAGTTGCTGCTTCCACTGCTATTGAATCTTCATCTGCTATTGAATCTTCATCTGCTATTGAATCTTCATCTGCTATTGAATCTTCATCTGCTATTGAATCTTCATCTGCTATTGAATCTTCATCTGCTATTGAATCTTCATCTGCTATTGAATCTTCATCTGCTATTGAATCTTCATCTGCTATTGAATCATCATCTGCTATTGAATCATCATCTGCTATCGAATCATCTTCTGCTATTGAATCATCATCTGCTATTGAATCATCATCTGCTATTGAATCATCTAGTGAAGATTATCCATTAACTCTTGATGCTGAATCCTTAGTTGCTGCTTCCACTGCTGCGGAATCTTCATCTACTATTGAATCTTCATCTGCTATTGAATCTTCATCTGCTATTGAATCTTCATCTGCTATTGAATCTTCATCTGCTATTGAATCTTCATCTGCTATCGAATCATCTTCTGCTATTGAATCATCATCTGCTATTGAATCATCTAGTGAAGATTATCCATTAACTCTTGATGCTGAATCCTTAGTTGCTGCTTCCACTGCTGCGGAATCTTCATCTACTATTGAATCTTCATCTGCTATTGAATCTTCATCTGCTATTGAATCTTCATCTGCTATTGAATCTTCATCTGCTATTGAATCTTCATCTGCTATCGAATCATCTTCTGCTATTGAATCTTCATCTGCTATTGAATCATCATCTGCTATTGAATCATCTAGTGAAGATTATCCATTAACTCTTGATGCTGAATCCTTAGTTGCTGCTTCCACTGCTGCGGAATCATCATCTGCTATTGAATCATCATCTGCTGTTGAATCATCTAGTGAAGATTATCCATTAACTCTTGATGCTGAATCCTTAGTTGCTGCTTCCACTACTATTGAATCTTCATCTGCTATTGAATCTTCATCTGCTATCGAATCATCTTCTGCTATTGAATCTTCAACTGCTATTGAATCATCATCTGCTATTGAATCATCTAGTGAAGATTATCCATTAACTCTTGATGCTGAATCCTTAGTTGCTGCTTCATCTGCTATTGAATCTTCTTCTGCTGTTGAATCATCCTCAGAGTGTCCTACTTGTATTTCCCTGCTGACTGCTTCCTTGGAAGAAACTTCTAGTACCTTCTCGACTATTTCTGTCAGTTCAGTATCATTATATCCAGATGTTTTACCATCTTCTTCTCGTCCACACTACGTTAACTCCACTGTTCCACAATATTCATACACAAGTGATTCATCTAGTTCTATTCCTGTCGCTGATGGTGCTGCTTCGTCAGACTCTCCAGAGTTGAATACCTATGTTCCAACATCAATAACTGATGCCATTTCATCATCGATTATTACTCCAAACAATGAAAATGAGTCAATCAAGGAATCCACTTCATCAAGTGTTGATACTAGTAGTTATCCACATACCTTAGCTGGTCCAGCTCCACCTGCAGTAACAGCTAGCTCTGAAACTAATTTTGATACCAGAACAACTGAAGATACCGCAAGTGCAGTTGGTACTTCAGTTACTGATGGTTCTGAAGTCCCTGTTCAATCAGTTTCTTCATCTTCTGTCAGCTCCGAAATTGACGCCAATGGTGATCTTACTTCTTCAACTACTGGTGCTTCATCTACTGGATTAACGATTGCTGATTCTATTGCTTCTACCTCAACGGCTAAATCTTCTGAAGATGTTGTCATCTCATCAACTGCCAATACTTCTTCTGAGGATGATTATTCTGATGTCAAGACCTCGACTAATGAAAATGCTGTTGAAGAACCTAGCACTGTAACCATGTTTACCACCGTTACTACAACTGGAGCTGATGGTATTCCTGAAACTGTAACTGTGTTAACTACTGTCACCACTACAGAAATGAATGGCGGTGAACCAACTGGAACTACCCCTGATGAGAACGACTCTGGTAACAATAACGGTGGTGACTCCCACAACACCGGGTAATGACGGTTCTAACACCAACGGGTGGTGACTTCAACAACACTGGGTAATGGACAACACTGGATTCTACTGGTGATTGACTCCCACAACACCTGGCAAACGACGGGTTCTTAACACCAACTGGTGGGTG